GATTTTCCTACAGGGAGATAACCATGAATCTGTATCACTAACACATTGCCACAGACGTTCTGGCTCCTGTGACTGCTGATAATCTTCTTCTAGTAAGAACCAACTGGCATTTAGCTTTCAACAGTAGTCTCAGTGAACTGCTTAATGTGACTCAGCTTCTGAAAGGGGAATCCATGGGTAGTGAGGCTGCAGGACTGTAACCCAACCCTGGTGCATAGACAGTTCACTAAGGCAGCCAGCCTCTGTAAGGCCCTTGGCAGGCAGCCAGTCAGCCTTCCCTAGGGACTCTGATCTCACTATGTACTTCTCATTTTAACTTATTTCTCAAGTAATACAAATCCTTAGAAAACAACAGAGGATATATTACCCTTGGTTTGGAGAGAAGAAGCAAAGCAAGAGGTCAGAGAGGTATGGTGGCCCAGGAGAAACAAGCACAAGTGGAAGAAGAGGCTATGGTGGACTTAAGAAATACATGGGGATGGGGCTATAGGAAGACAGAGGATATGGGAGAGCCTGTGGTCCAGAGGAAAAAAAGAAAGAAAAGGCTGCACAGAGAGTCATATATATTCTCTGTGTTTTAATATTGACTACAAGTCTTTATGCCTCAAGAGAATGCCTTTTTAGAGCTCTAATGCTGATCACAGTTTGAGTTCACAGTTATCTTGCAAGGCACAAATTTTTCTTCGTTTTAGCTGATGAGCACACTGAGGCTCACAGAGATTACATAACTTGCCTGAGGTCACATGAATTACTAACTCATGATACAGCCAAGTTTTACATCCAAATCCAATGTAATCACTATTATAGTATGTTTCTTTCCATATGATCTTCTCGCCAATAATTCTGTTTGACTATCAGTAATAATGTGACTTATTCATTCTTTTATCAAATATTTGTTGAGTGTAGCCTATATGCTAAACATTGAACTGGGTGTTTGGGAACAATGGTGAGCTTAAACACGAAGAATAGAGCCTAGTTTGAGAGATAAACACTAATCAAATAATTGCACAAATGTCAAGTTACAAAAGTGTTAAGTGCTATAAAGGAAGGTATGGGGGCTATAAGTACTTAGTGACTTCACCTGATCAGTGAAGTTAGGGAAGATTCCTTAAGAAACAGTCACTTGAAGGAAGTGGGGAGGAAAATAAATTATTGGCAAAGAGAATATTAAGCATAAAGGCCCGTTGAGGCAGGGAACTATGGAAAGTGGGGAGAAGACTTTGTGGCTACAGTGGAGAGAGTGGATGGGGAGACCAGTACAAGATAATGCCGGAGAGGCAGACAAAGACAAGAGTATGCAAACATAATCACTCCTGTAATGGGTTTCTTCCAGGGACACGGTGGACAAGGACCAGGTTAATTGAGAAAAGATCTTAAGTTCAATTCTGTGCATGATGAATGTCTTAATTACCTAGGGCTGCTATAGCAAAATACCACAAGTGGACGACTTTATAGAACAGAAATTTATTGTCTCATAGTTTAGAGAGGTTTTAAGTCCAAATCAGGGCATCAAGTCGAGAAGAAGATCCTTCTTTGTCTCTTTCAACCCCTAGTATGTGGCAGCAATCCTTGGTGTTCCTGGGCTTGTAGATGGCATCTGCCCCTGTCTTCACACAGCATCTTCCCTCTATGTATGTGTCTGTGCCTATTCTACTCTTTTTATGAGAAACCACTCAGAAGGAATTCGGTTTAGGACCCACCCTACTCTGGTATGACCTCGTTAACATAAAAAGAAAACCCCTGTGCAATGAGCTGGGAAAGAGAAAGTAAGTTCATTCAGGGCTGTAGCTCTCAGCAAATAATTTATGAAAACATCCAGTGGTGTTTTCATAAGCTTTGTTACTTACATAGTAATTGGGACAGAGAGGAAAGGGTAAAATTCCATCTCAGAGCTGTTCCCCTAAAAAAGTGTTTGGCCCCAGGTTAGTTTGGAAAGAAAAACTCTTCTATACTCACATAGCCCCTTGAAACATCAGAGGTGAAGGAAACAAAAGGGAAAAGGGCCCTGGGTTTTCAATATACCTTAAAATCAGAGGAATCTATGTATGTAGTAAAAGGGGATGGGGAGAAAGTGAGAGGCTCCTTGATGCAACCTAGGCTCAGGGTGTGTGATGGTCTTGTGGTCAGCCTTGATGGCGTCAAAGGAAGAATATTTCCTCACCTTCTGGGATCTAAGATTAAGATCTTGCCAGTATGCAATTATATAGTTAATCATATACCTTACCACTGAAGCACTAGGACAATGTACAACTAAGGCACTAGGGGAGGGGGTGCTACTTCTCCTAGGGTACATTCTTTCAGTATAATTTTAGTGTAAAGGGCATGTAGTTGGTGGGGGTAGGGAGGCAAAAACTGCTTTTGCTACCTCATACCCTATCTCCAAACAGGGTCATATTTACAGGTAGAGGGATTGGCACTTCAACATAACTTTTTGGAGGGACATAGTTCAATCTGTAACAATGAGTTTGTGGTCTCTATGTGACAACCAAGAGGAAATGTCAATTTGGCAGTTATTATGCACATCTGGAATTCAGAGGAAAGCTGTGGATTAGAGTTAAATATTTGGAATTCATATGTGAACAGGTAGTAACCAAAGCAAAGATAGGACTTAGGTGATCTAGAGGCGATCTAACAGAATGAAAACTGGAAGGAACTTCAGAGCTTGCTTTGAGGAACCTCAACATTTTTCCCTCTGTACCCCTTCTATTTGCTACCCAGAACCATAGCATTTCGTTATTGAGTAGAGGAGAACAAAAGAGGAAAAAGCAGCATCTGGTACCAAGTTCTGTCATAGTTGCCTAGTGCTACTGTAACAGAAATACAACAAGTGGGTGGCTTTAAAGAGCAGAGATTTATTTTCTCCCAGGAGTCTAGAAGTCCAAATTCACGACACTGACTATAGGGGAAGGCTCTCCCTTTGTGAGTTCTAGGAGAGGATCCTTGTCTCTTTCAGCATTCCTTGGTTCCTTGGTGATGTTCGTGTGGCACCTGTCTTTTCCCCATTTGTGCTTGCTCCTGTGTCTAATCTGCTGTTTTTATAACTCAGTACTGATTAGGTTTGTGACACATCATACACTGGTATGGTTTCATTAAAAAAACAAGAAAATCCTATTCCCAAACCAGATTACATCCACAGGTATAGGGGTTAGGATTCCAACACATATTTTAGGGAAACACAGTTCACTCTTTAACAACCCCTTTCTCTTTACTATCCAGAACCATAATGTTTAGTTACTGGGTAAAAACTCACCGACGTTGAGTCAATTCCGACTCATAGCAACTCTGTAGAGTAGAAAAAAAGTATGAAAAGCAGTATCTAGAGAAAATGGGGAACAAACTAGGGAATTTTTGTCGTAGAAGCTAATATAGGATAATTTCATGAAGGAAGGAGTATTCAACTGTCTTGAATGCTATCAAGATATCAAGAAAGGTGAAGACTAAAAATGTTTGCTGATTTTAGCAACTTTGAAGTCCTTGCTGACCTTAGTGGTATGTCCTGTCACTTGAATAGTCTATCCTCTTTCTTAATTTTCCTGTAATTTTTATATTTAATTTAAATTGGGGTAGAATAGGATCAAGGGACAGCTTCATACAGGAATTCCTGCATAGCTCTCTCTTTCTTTTTTATATCAGTTCATATATGCACACATACACCCATACATAGAGCATTATAGCTTTCTGTGATTGTTAAAATTCTAATGAGCTGTGCGAGTTTATAGATCTGTCAAATAACTGTCATATATTTCTCGCATCAATGATTATCCTCTATTTTCTCTCAAACAAAACCAGAATTTATAATAAAAGCAAAATATTAATTAAAAGTTGATTTAGAAAAAATATACTGAATTTTTCTTTTGCATATAAATATTCACTATAGTTTTATTTTTTTTAATTAAGAAATATTTAGTGAACACTTGCCATAGGCCAAATGCACTACTAGAAACTTGGGATTTCAGGGCAAATGACATGTCTGCAAAGAACACAGTCAAGCATACCATACTATATTGGCTTGCCTCCTTTTAGGTCTTAACAGTTTATGCTGTAAAGTTTTTTAAGATGTGGTGGGTTGAATTGAATGTATATAGATTTTGAAGGTGCACTGAGAAAGAAAGTATATCTTATAATGGTTGCCTGTGTATTAAAGGAAGAAATAATAGATAAAGTAAGATTGGAATATCAAACAGTATGTAGTCCCTCCATTGAGTGCCCCACCCTGCACATGTTAACCACACACACAAATATACACCCATGCATATACACATGCAAATATAAAGCATCTAATAGGTAGTTAGTTGTAAGAATGAAAATTTGTTTCTGATTGACTCTGATAATTCTGAAATCTTTGACAATCAAGCCATCATAATCACTTTCGTGTTGTTGAACAACTTTAATACTTATTTTTCCTCATACTTTGTATTTTTAATAATATGTTTTAAGACTCATATATGCTCAATATCGGACCCACCTTAATATAATTGGTTAGCTTTTTGAACAAACATATACTGGTTCTTCATTTCGAAAGCACACTTCTGAATATATGTGTGAATAATACAGAAAAAAAGTATAATTCCAAGTAAGAATTTCACTGAAAAAAATTATTTTTAGGTTTCAGTGCTTTTATTAGTTATTTTCATAACAACACAATTTGGCAAGAGTTCCTATAAAACAACAATTAAAAATAATAAAAGGTTGGATCTGCTCAAGTCTTTTGCCCAACAATGTAATCAACTATTGGTAGTTTCAAGCTTTTAAATGTAGAAAAGTTTAATAAATTTGTTTTTAATATCTCATTCCTTCTTGGATTATATACAATAAGTAACAAAATTCTCCTATAGATAGACAGTCCTAGAAGGTCCAAGTCATAAAGAATGCTTATTTACCTTAATTAAAAAAAAAAACTTTTAATAAGTTGATTTTTTCTTGTATGAGAGAGCTTCCATGTTGACGATGAGTAACTGGTGACTATAATTACTATGTATTTCTGTTTTGGTTAATTCCAGAGCACATTCAGAAAATGAAGGTACCTCCTTACCATCTGCTGACTCCTGTACCAGTCCTACTAAAATGGATTTATCATATAGTAAGACTGCTAAGCAATGCCTAGAGGAGATATCAGGTAAGTAATCTGATTGATGGGTAGGTCAAACCTGAGAATTCTTGTAATCTCTCTGTAAATTTTTATATTAAATCATATTTGTACTATGCTCTCTTTTCTTATGCAAAAATGGACTGTGTTCATCTTATGTATCAGAGATTTTTAGAACTATTTGGCTGTTCTGCTTAGGATGGTCTCATGATGTCTTTGTAGAAAATAGTAGTACTTTCATAAGTTGAGATTTGAAGTCAATATTGACCTCAGTCAAGTTATTTATATTCAGGGAAAAAAAAAACTAGAGAAACTTCTTGTTAGTAAGGCAGCCCTTGGATATATTTGGCAACTGAAACTATACTAAAGATCAGGTATAAACGTATATTTTCCATAGCTAATCTAAACCTGTTCTATCTTCAATTCTGTATTGTTTAGAAAATTTCTACATGGTGACTCCAAATGTACATTATGAAACAAAAATCTAGCAAAATATTGCATTTTATATAAATAATGTAAGGAAAAAAACAAACACATATACATACCTCAGACACAGTTTGTCAGATTTTTAAGTGTATAAAACAGGTTTCTTAGCTTGAGCCCAGTGTTCTTCCTAGGATCCAGATAAGCCTGGGCCTATATGGAAAGCCTTTGTTGTAATGTTGTTATATATAGGTCTATTTTCATGAGGTATCGAGCAGCCTCCTAGCAAAATATACTGCCCTCACAACTGAACCAATAGGTAACATCATGATAAATAGAGAAAATATTGACGTTTTCAAGGACTTCATTTTACTTGGATCCACAATCAACATCCATGGAAGCAGCAGTCAAGAAAGCAAATGATGTATTACATTGAGCAAATCTGCTGCAAAAGACCTCTTTAAAGTGTTCAGAAGCAAAGATGTCACTTTGAGGACTAAGGTATGCCTGACCCAAGCCATGACATTTTCAGTTGCCTCACAAGTATGTGAAAGCTGGACAATGAATAAGGAAGACTGAAGAATAATTGATACCTTTGAATTATGGTGTTGGCAATGAATATTGAATATACCATGGACTGCCAGAAGAACTAACAAATCTGTTTTGGAAGAAATATCGCCAGAATGCTCCTTAGAAGCAACAATAGCAAGACTTCATCTCACATACTTTGGACATGTTAACAGGAGGGACCAGTTCCTGGAGAACGACATCAGGTTTGGTAAAATAGAGGGTCAGCAAAAGAGAGGAAGACCCTCAACGAGATGGACTGACACAGAGGCTGCAACAATGGGCTCAAGTATAGCAACAATGGTGAGGATGGTGCAGGACCAGGCAGTGTTTCCTTCTGTTGTACATAGGGTCACTGTGAGTCACAACGGACTTGACAGCACCTAACAACAACAAGAGGAGAGAGAATGTAAGAACATTTTGTCTGTTTCTAAGTAAGAATGGATGGAAGTAGAGTTACATCTGTTATTCCGGTAAATTCTTACCTAGTTCCTGTGTATTTGCAGCTACATTCAAGAGGAAAACAAAACACTAGAAGAAGTATTTAATTATAATATTACCATAGTACTCCAAGGATTCAAAGTACTGCTCTGAAGCTCATGAAAGTAACCATATCACAGATTTAGGGGTGAAGAAGCTACCCCATTTCATCAGACCTGAAGCACACTTTGGCATGTGTTAGCTTTTACTGCAATATCCACCAGCGGGTATTGACAGTGACAACAAGCTAAGGGTACCTTTGGGAATTACCATCAGTGGCATCATTAGGCACTAGAAGTTTCACATGAAAATTACAGCAAAGGCCCAGTGCAGGGAAGGGATAGAAATGGTTAATGTCATGATGCAGCTGTGGGATGGTATTGGCAGATTTCTTCAAAATACTTGTAGGAAGTGTTCCATATGGCTTTCCCATAGCTCCGGGTAGTCTCAAGGCCAGAATGATGCTGTGTATCTTTATTGTGACCAGTCTGTAAACCTAGTGTGGCCTAACGAAACATATGCTTCTTATATTTATTTACACATGACTTCCTTCAATTAGCATAATTATACCTGTGCAATACTAGAGCTCAAGTCAGTAGGAGCAAATGTGTGTAATGCAGTTTGAAGTGTGATGTTTATGTGAATTTCACAGAAGAACATTGCTTTTCTGAAATTAATATATCACTGAGTATCTCTGATTATATAAATAATCCATATTTGATTTTTTCTACAGTCTTACCCTATCTACCGCCTGATTATATTTTTCATAGTTCCAGTTAATATTCCATTTAGTGTTCTTGTGTTTTCAGTAGAATACTTGAAAGTGGGATATAAACTGATGGCAATATAATAATTTAATGGATTTATGAGAAGACACAATATTATTTTACACTAATAATGAAATGTATATATAGAATCATAGATTTGATTATAAGATTTAGATAGGAATATAATAAAGAAAACAAATTCAGAACTAAGGCTTATCTGATTGTCTTTCCTGCTATCATCTTTTTAAAATTATCTTGTAGTGTGGTAGTAAATGTCCCTTAATGCAACTTTAAGATTGTGTGGGAGAATGATGATTTTTATTTACGGTTGAGACCCCCATTAGCATCAAGTTGATTCTGACTCATGGCAACCCCATGTGCTACAGAGTAGAACTGCTCCAAAGGTTTTCTTTACAGAAACAGATCACCAGACCTTTCTTCCATGGTGCTGCTGGGTGGGTTCGAACTGCCAACCTTTAGGTTAGTAGTTGAGCACAAGTTATTTGTGCCACTCAGGGACTTCTAATTTACTGTTAGTAAGTTATAAATTGAGTGCCATATTTGGAGAAATCTTGATGAGAGTATACCAGTAGGGCAGTGATAAGAGCACAAATATCATAGAGAAATGAGATTGAATATCCTAATTTTTTCCATTTTAACCTTTGCATCACAATTAACGTGTTTTTACCCAAATAACATGTGCCTTCTGCGTTTGTTTGCCAACTGTGCCCTCCCCTTGTGAGGTGTTTTTGTAAGCGCTGCTATGCCAATTCTTTTTTAACATGTTGCTATAAAAAAATTAGCGTAGTATGCTTATGAAAATACCTTGGGGGGGGAGGGCACAGGTGGCAAACAGAAGACACACATTATTTGCATAAAAATATTGTACTTTTTTTACAGTTTCTGCTTTAATATTTGGTGGTTGCCATATTCTCATAGATGATCCTTCCAACTCCCTGCCCTCTCTCTCAGTGGTCTTGTTCTCCAACTCTCCTGAGCTACTCATTCTCATAACCATACTTTAGATCTTATGATTACCAGCAGCTCCAACTTTTCCATAACCTCCATTTCATGCTTCCCTCTCTCACTGACTACAACCTCCTATCTTTTCTGTACTCTTCCTTTTGTACCCTGACTCCACCCATGGCTCCACTAAGATTTCAAACTCATTGATCCCACCACATTTTATTATTCATCACCAAACCCTGTATATTCTTCTTACATTTTTAGATAGCCGGATTCCTATGGTCATGGGTATAATTTTACTTTTGCCTATATCCTTGACTCTCTTACCCCTCTCTTATGTCATTGTACTTATTTGATGAAGTCACAGACCTGGTACCATTCAACGCTCCACCTATTCCATACCTGCAGTGAATGAGCCTGGGGAAAAACACACCACATGTTTATGTTACTCACTTTAAATTAATGATGGAAGACCTCAAGGGAATACTTAAAGCTGTCCTCACAATTATTCTATATTACTGTGATCTGCTTACTCTTTCAATTTCTTAGATGACAATTGTATACATTTTCTTTTCTTTCCAAACCTACAATACCATCTCTTACATACTTTCTTTTAACCAATGACGACTTTGCTGTCTTCTTCACTGAAAAAGGTAAAACAGGCAGAAAGCACCTTTACAAGTCACTGCCTCCACATCTACCCATGCACCAGTATCTATACCCGTTTATTCTGCCTTTTCTCTGATTACTCTCTCTTCTACCTCTATAACGTCAGCTTTTCTTGACCACGTGATGTACCAAGTGAAATAAAACAGATGGAATGGTGAAGGGCTTTTTGGATCAGAACAAATAATTATACTACTCACTGACATTGTCGTAGACTTTCGTTACTTGCCATAATCAGGACACTGATAAAAAGAGTAAGGGTTCATCAAGAGCCAAGTTCTCTGAAAAGGCTCCCATCCAAGTGTGGGATGTTTTAGGTCACTTCCATGTGCACCCCTCACTGAACCATGGGCAAGAGAACAAGGAGGAACTTGGGCCTGGGGCTTATATAGAGAAACCAGAGGGGTATACATGCTGGACTGCATGGAAGCAAGAGAAGGAGAGGTAAGAAGAAGGTGTCTCTGTTCAGGTGCAAACAGGATGGCTATCCAGTGACCAGGAGAGTGCCTTTGTTCAGGTGCAGACAGCATGGCCATCCTGCAACCAAAATGTGCAACATTTCTTCCCCTCTAGCTACAAGATTAATTCTGTATAATTAAGTAGTTAGTTATGGGTAGTCATGGGGAAATAGAAAGTTACTTTTAGCTCGGAACAGGGAGGACACCTTCTCTGATAAGAAGAAGAACTGGGAGAGAGAGTGAGCCCCAATTCCTTGCTCCCTTATCAGAGACCGCTCTGAGTCCAAGGCTTCAGCTTAGGCAACCTGGATGGAAATCATAAAGGCAGACCACACTCCCTGCAGACCCCAATTTGCTCTTCAAATACTGTCCACATTTATGTCTTCTTCTTTATAGCACACTCCTACAAAGAGTAGCATTCAATCTCTGTTACTAATTTGTCTCCTCTCTAATAAACCTACTCCAATTAGGCTTTCAGCCTCATCTCTCCACTGAAACACTTATTGAGGTACCAATGATGTATATATGGCCAAATCTAAGGTCTCAGTCCTCATTTTACGTCTCAGCAGCATATGCCCTCCTCTGGAAAAATTTCTTCCTTGCCTCCCAGAATATCACATTTCCTTTGTTTTCCTTGAACCTCAATATTTGCTCCTTCTCAGTTTCCTTTTCTCCTTCATCTCTTATATCTGAACTGATCTTG